TTTGCCAACATGGGCGGCCCTTGAAGTGCGCATGTTAGTTTGTTGCTCATGACAACAGGCGTTCGATTGTAAAACTGGTGACAGGGCCGCGTGCTGCTGTTTGAGCTGGGTCCAACAACTCCTTCCTATGGAGGAGAATATGTCCATGTAAATTCGTCAGTGCGGAGGAAAGATTTAGGCCACGTCTCGCAATGCAGGACTACTCCGGCGCCGAGCCGAGATACTTGCAGTCTTGCCCCCAGTGGACAGGACATTTGTGTGACCCGATGCACAGGGCCCAGTGGGATTGCCATGCTTTGCGGTCACCCCTTGGGTGTGGTCAACATTCCCTGCAGAGGTGCCGCTATGGTGTTGCGCGACTTTGTGCTTTGCCATGCCGCGTTGCTTTGAGTCAGCCTGATGTTCCAGGCCGTATCTCATTGGTCACGGTAGCGATGTGTTCAACAGAAGCATCAGTCACACGACCGGAGCGGCCACCCATGGTTCATGCTGGCTCGAGTGGCAAGAGTGAAGTTGGTCAGGTACTTCGGTGAGCAGTATATATAGGAATCTTGCTGAACTTTTCAACATGTGATGTATATACATGCACACACACATAAATCCATGTTTCAATTTGACATGCATATGTGTGCACTTGTTCTGTATTATCGTTGTTCTCGCCAGAAAGGCTTTCTTTAAGACCCTTCTGAAAGAGGGACGCAGCAGGCACATGTAGAGAACAAACTTTTACAGAAGGTGAGCACAGATCAACAGCGGCATATCACATTACATGACATCACATCACATGACTCGTCCCTTCCTTCCTGCCTGCCTGCCTGCCTGGGCCTGCCTGCCTTCCGGCCTTCCTGCCTCCTGCCTTCCTGCCTTCCTGCCTTCCTGCCTTCCTGCCTTCCTGCCTTCCTGCCTTCCTGCCTTCCTGCCTTCCTGCCTTCCTGCCTTCCTGCCTTCCTTCCTTCCTTCCTTCCTTCCTTCCTTCCTTCCTTCCTTCCTTCCTTCCTTCCTTCCTTAGATTCATCCATCCGTTCCTTCATTATTCATTTGCTCATTCATTCAGGCAGTCAGTCTGTCAGTTCGTTTGTTCATTCATTCATTCATTCATTGATTCATTCATTCATTCATTCATTCATTCATTCATTCATTCATTCATTCATTAATTCATTCATTCATTCATTCATTCATGCATTCACTCATTCATTATTCCATTCATTATTTCATTCACTATTCCATTCATTTCATTTCATGTCATGTCATTTCATGTTATTTCATTCTTCATTGGCTTGGAGTTTCACCGAGTTGCCGGCTGATTGGGTTTCATTTCACACGGATCCCCGAGAACCCGGTGGCCTCTCAGGCCGAAGGCCCGCGATCTCCTGGATCGGCAGTCGGAGGCGGGCCGCTCGCACCAGGCGATGCGCATCGAAGCATCTGGCTCGTTTGCCGCATCTTTGGTGGTTTTGAAGGGAAGCCAAAAGGAAGCGATTCGTTGCGGTCTCCTAAAATAAGACACACCCATTTGGGCTTGTTTCAATCTGGACCCCAAAATTGGGCGGTTTTCTTTTTATTTCCCTTTTACACAACCCCAAAAAGGGTGCTCACCAACAAAAAGACACGCCCACTTACGCAAGCGCATACACATGAACGCACAGAATCCCAACTATGCCTTGGTGCAGGTGACAAACAGGCAACAGAGGAAATGGAAGGCCTTGGAAGAAACGTTTTGTTTTGCTTGTTTCACGCACCTCAATCTGAGCGGCAGCTCGTCAGGTAATCCCTTGCCGGGCTTTCTTGGGCAGACCTTTGGGCGTGAATGATTGGACTCAAGGAAGCGAGAAGACATGGGTGGCTCGCCATTTTTTGAGTTGGTACTCGTACTCTACCATGCGTGGAATCAGGTAACCCCTAGTTGGTGGCTTGGATTGGCTTGGGAATTTGAACCTGGGTGTTTGTAGAAAGTAAATGGGACAGCCCTGATCTCGAAACCACCAGGCTCCAAACCGATCAGAGGGAAGCTGATGGAAGCAACAGAACCCCTGTTAGAGGAACATCGGCTTTTGGGGGGCCTCCTTTTGGATTGAAGGGAAGCCAGAAATCCAGTATGGGGGTCTAAACAAGACACACCCACCCAAATGAGCTTGAACTGATCTCGTCGAGCTGCAAGATGTTTCAAGGGGCATTAGAGAGAGAAGCGCGGGGTGGTTTGCTCCTGAGGGTCCGATCTTGAACCATCGATCGTAAGACAGGTCCTCTTTAAGGGCGCCTGCCACTTTCAGAGCGGTCTGTGTTCCGGTTTGGCCTTTGAAGTGTTCCGGTTTGGCAAGTCGCAAGTAGCGATCCACAAAAATCAAGTAGCGAGCTTAAGCATTGGTGTCGATCAAATCGTTGCATTGCGCATCTGTAAGCACAATGTGTTTGACACTTCACTCGGCGGGAAGTTCCGGTAGAAATGATGTCCCAAGCGAGCGACTGGTGCCGTGTCAGGACTGGTATGCTGGCTCGGCCGCTCCCGGCTATTCGCTGCCAAAGCTGGGGAGCCCAAATCAAGCCGGAGAGCTTTGCCGCCTAATGGAAATCTTCGTGGTGGTTGCTAGTGACTGGGGGCAGGGGAGCCCAAGTAAGGCTTCATTGAGGGCTGAGGACCTAATTTGGGCTCCCTCCCCCCCCTCCCCTCCCTGCCCCCAGCGCCATGAACTGGTCTCTCTCCACCATCAAATCTTAGACGTCGCCATGTCAGAAGGTTTTGACCACTGCCAGGTTTGAGAACGGCCAACTGCCAAGTTCGTGTGTTTTCTGGGTGTGCCTGATGGTTGGACTAATGGGGCCGCGGCCGCGGTTTTTGAATTTGCGCTCAGGCTTTGCTTTGCTTTGTTTTGGTTTTTTTTTTGCATCCTTTCAGGTTGCTTGGGCTGTTGTTGTTTTATTGGGGCAAAATCCACTTTGGGTGGTCCGCCAAACTTTAGAGCCTCCGGTCTGGCCTTTGAAGGGGCGCCCTCAAAACGACACCGATTTTGACACACGTCGCACACGTCGCAAACTTGAGGCTCCAGAGTGGGCTTCCCCGGCCGCCCCTGGGCGAGAGCAAGAAGGTGCTCGAAGCGGCCCGACGGCCCGGGGATTTGAGCCCGGGGAGTTGGGTTGGCTCGTCCCTTCTTCGGCGGTGTGCGGATTTGGGAAACCACCAGGAACGCACCTTTTTGTTTGGGGAGGGGGGGGATGTCCCCCAAAAAAGGCACACCCAAACGTATGCGCTCCCCATGTCCGGGTAAAAGAAGGGTACCTCAACTCGAAGGAGCACGGAATCTGAATGTTCAACTGTTTTGGTTGGGTTTCTTGGCGAGTGCAGCCTGGTGGCTTTGCTTGGATTTCCCTTGCCATTTGGTCGGAAGTCGTTTAGCATGTCGCGATCCACGAGATACATCCTGCCTCTTCTAGGTCTGAAGGCCAATGCACTAGGTGTACCACAAACAGGCCATGGAAGATAGCACTGCGTGTTCCCTCAAGAGGACAAGTTGGTGTCCGCCGTCCCGATCGTCAAGGATGTTAACAGGCAATGTGGAAATGCGGGCAGAAGCATTGAAGCAGACGTTTGGATATTCCTGTTCAAGCCTGGTCGCTTGAATCATGCCGTACCTGATTTCATCAGGGAAGCAGAAGGCATGCTTTGAGATTGAGGTCTAGGTGCCCAGTTGACAAGTTGGGTTGGACCCCTGCTTAAACAACACGTCTTTTGCTTTTTGCGCCGAGGCCAAGCACGGAAACCATCCCTGAGTGCAAACCGTCCGAGGCGCGCGCCCTCGCAAGATCTCTCGGGAGCTTGCGCAACAGCCCAGGTCTCAGGAAGCTTCCTGGCTCGCTTGAGCTTGGCATTTGTGGCATGCCCAAAAACAGGGCCTTGGACCAACCCGCTCATTGACCCTGACACTGGAGTTTTCAGCCAGGGTCCCAGGGTGGTGAGGTGGGTGTGGCTCTTTTTGGGGGTAACCCTGATTTGGTTGGTTTTAAGGGAAATCAGGTGTATGGCGGTTTTGAATCACTTCCTTGACATCTTCCCTTCACGAGGCAAGGACGCGCCCTGACTCCCGAGCAGAACGCTTCGGTTGTTTCACGAGGGCAGAGATCACCCGGTCTCTCAAAGATGAAACGGGCAAGGCGCGCAGCTGAGCCCTGCAAAAGTTTCACGAGTGACGAAAATAGTGCGGAATTCAGGGTGGAGGTTGGTTGTTCACTTGCAACAGAAAGACAAGGTTTGCTGGCGCCATTCGTCAATGACTTGTGTTTAGTTTCCTATCCTTGATCAAGAATCATTTCAGAGGTCTCTGCATAAGGACTGTGACCAGTCTGCTTTCGCTTCCAGAAATGCCCAGCTTTCGTAGGGCCTTTCCACCCTGCACGCAAGTAGCTCCCGGCCGCTCCAAGAGTGAGCCGGGAGAGTTAGAGCCGGGACCAACACCTGCCAATTTCTCAATCGAGGCTGTTTCTGCATGTGTGATACATATACTTATAAGAACGGGAGACCAGCTTTCTGTGCCGCTAATATCTGGCATGGGAGATCAAGTGAACTTTTGTATGGGAGAGTCTGTGGTGGTTGGTCACTTCTCGCATGCCAAAATTCAAGCTTTGCAAATGCCCCGCCGCGTTACGCGAGGGCAGCTTTCACCCCCGTTAGAGAGAAACATGCTAGCGATTTGCCTTGGTTCCGCTGAAGAGTGTCAGTTGCTTCTTCCGACTCCTTTGCCTGCCACGTCATCCAAGAAAACTATACAGCTTCGTGAGCAATGTAGCTTCACCACAACTAGCTGATTTTGACATGTTCACACGTATTCATTCCACCTTTCCCGTATCTGATTGAAGGGAACAACCCAGAGCAACCTGCGTCCGAGAGCAATGCAAAACATTTTGGGTTCTTGACCCTTTCCATGATTTCAAGGGAAAGACTGGAGCGTCTCACGCCTCAACCTTTGCGCTGACGTAGTGTGCACCATCAGGATGCATCACATATGCAGGAGATGCGCGGCCTTGGTATCCCGATGGATGCAGGGGCCCGAATTGATAAAAGTTCATCGTTTAGCTTCGGTCCATGGAGCACAGGTCTGAACTGCATGCTGAGGGCTTGCGAACGGCATGCAGATGTGCCATGGTTCAAGAATTTCAGGATCAATGATGGCAGTCAGGTCACCCCCTACGGATGAAAGTGACATTGAGGATGCGATTCCAAGGGAGCCGTTTGCGTGGGTCCTTTCGCTCGCCTTCCCCCCCCACCTTCTCCATTTGTTGGTGATGGTTGCCCTTTGGCTCTCCCAAGAAAAGCGGTACGCCTCAAAAAAAGACGAGCCACCGCGAGAGAAGCGACGAAGACTGGTTCAGAGACATATCAGTGTGTGATTTCTTTGGGGATCCTTTAAAAAAAGACATCCGGCCACCAGCCATTGACGACGAATCAGGTGATTTCCTACAGCGTCGCCTTGAGAGCCGTGGACACTTGGGAGTATGCCTTGCAGCTCATGCAGCAGCCACAGGAACCGGACTGGCATGACCGGGTTCACAAGGTCCGGCCGACATTGGTGTGTTTTTGGAGTTGGGGGGGGCTCTACAAAACAGACAAATTCACATTATCTTGCAGGCTTTGTTTGTTTGCCTGTTCCCTCGATCGATGAGCGAGTTGACGCGTCAAAGGTCGGAAATGCCGGACAAAGCCATTATGCCGGACAACATTGTTTATGGTGCCGGGGACCCAGCTGGCGAAAACTTGGCGTGCGCCTTTCTGTGCTGCCAAGTCATCCATGGACCATGAGTCAGACTTAGAAAGTGGACTGGCAGTATCCAAGATATTCAGCTGATGTGTTTTTTGGAGCATTTCGCAAGTGGATTGCTTTTTGGCTACAAGCTTAGAGTCTCACAGGATATTACTTTGTGCTTTGCGAGAAGAGAGGCTCTCAAATGGAGACTCCATTGGCAAATCAATTCCGTCGCGGTCAAAAGGCGGCAGGCGAATTTTAAAACGTCCAATTGTTTGGGATGGTTTTTGGTTCATCCACTTCCTGAAAACAACCCTGTTCTTTTTCTTTCCTCCCTCGTCGCAGAGGCAGATCCGCCTCGGCTCTCTTGCGACGCGCGGTTTGAGGCTGCCATGGGCGCCTTCGATCGCGGCCGGAACCTCGCGCTGGCTCTCAGGCGACGTCGCGAAATGCGGAAACGCGCGCGCACGCAGACGCACGGGGTTCGGCCTCGAAAGGTTTGGGGGTATGCTCAACAAAAACGGGTTGGCAATGTTTGTTGGTGAGTGTCCGTTCAAACGTCGACTTTGAGTTTTCTTTTTTTGCTGGTAAGGGAGCAAGGATTTCGTTCCGGAGCGGATGAGGGAGCCCCTCGTTCCATCTGGTTTCAGTGAATATTAGGAGGTAACCTCTCAAACATAGTTTGTGGACATCATGCACGTGATGCCCAAGGCTCCCCTTTGAAAGGGGGGCAGTTGTGTTGTGGGTTTTGTCTCCAAATTGGATATGGAAGCGTTGAGATGGGAGAGTCCCTTTGGTTTGAAAGGACAACCCACGAAAGGGTAATTACCCTCATACAGATGTGATTTAAATGCATTCACATGGCGTGGGTTTCCCTCAGAAGAGTTTCCTTTTTGGACCGGGAAACGCGAATCATGCCAACAGGTCCATATCTCATTTGGAGACAGACCCATGTGAGACACTCAAAACCCGAGCAGATGAAGTTAGTAGTACCAGGTTTTGATTAGACTCATGTGGGTCGGTCTTCTTTGAGGGTACTCTTTCTTCTTTTTTTTTTAACAGGATGCCATAGCTAAAAGCTATAGGGGTTCTAACTTCAAATAAAGAAGGGAAAGTGATTTGCGAGCTTGAGGTCCGGGTGCTAGGGGGCATGCAGTTTGGGGTGCTGGTGGATGCTGTTTTGCAAGCCTGACGGCCGGGTGCTAGGGGGCATCCAGCTTGGGCTGCTGGTGGAGTTGCCGCTTTGCGAGCTTGATGGCCGGGTGCTGGCATGCAGTTTGGGGTGCTGGTGGATGCTGTTTTGCAAGCCTGACGGCCGGGTGCTAGGGGGCATCCAGCTTGGGCTCTGGTGGAGTTGCCGCTTTGCGAGATTGACGGCCGGGTGCTGGCATGCAGTTTGGGGTGCTGGTGGATGCTGTTTTGCGAGCTTGACGGTGCTAGGGGGCATCCAGCTTGGGCTGCTGGTGGAGGTGCCCCCTTGCGAGATTGGCGGCCGGGTGCTAGGCGGCTGGTGACGGCCGGCTGGGCGGCATGTAGTAGTTTGGGGCCGGGTGCTAGGCAGCATGTACTTCGGGGCGCTGGTGGAGGTGCTAGGGGGCATGCAGTTTGGGGTGCTGGTGGATGCTGCTTTGCGAGCTTGACGGCCGGCGTCCAGCTTGGCTGCTGGTGGAGGTGCCGTTTTGCGAGATTGACGGCCGGGTGCTGGGTGCTGATGGATGCTGTTTTGTGAGCTTGACGGTGCTAGGGGGCATCCAGCTTGGGCTGCTGGTGGGGGTGGCACCTCCACCAGCAGCACAAGCTGGATGCCGATGCCCCCTAGCACCCGACCGTCAAGCAAACTGCATGCCCCGTACCGGCCGTCAATCTCGCAAAGCGGCACCTCCACCAGCAGCCCAAGCTGGATGCCCCCAAGCTGAAAAAAAGCATCCACCAGCACCCCAAACTGCATGCCAGCACCCCCGGCCGAAAGCGGCACCTCCACCAGCGCCCCAACTACATGCCCCCCATGTACATGCCCCCCGGCACCCGGCCGTCGCCAGCACCCCAAACTGCATGCCCCCTAGCACGCGGCACCTCCACTAGCACCCCAAAACACCCGGCCGCCAACCTCCACCAGCAGCCCAAGCTGGATGCCCCCTAGCACCGTCAAGCTCACAAAACAGCATCCATCAGCACCCAGCACCCGGCCGTCAATCTCGCAAAGCCTGGTGGATGCTAATTTGCAAGCTTGACGGCGAGGTGTCAGGGGGCATGCAGTTTGGGGTGCTGGTGTAGTAGGGGGCATGGAGGTGCTGGTGCTGGTGCAGGTGAAGGTGTAGGCGCATTTTTGCCAGGTTGATTGCTGCAAGTTTGGGGCGCTGATGCAGGGCGCTGGTGACGTTGTGGACGTAATTTTCCGAGATTGCCGGCGGGTGGCTGTGTCAGGTGCTGTTTTGGGTTGCTGTTTGAGGTGCTGCTGACCGCGCGGGCGCTTCTTTCCCAGACAATTGAAAGCCATAGGGGTTCTAACAGAAAGCGCGGTTTTGGGGCGCTGTTCGGTTGTGAGGTGCTGGCGCAGGTGCTGCGTTGGGGTGCTGTTGGGGCTGCTGTTTTGAGGGCGGGTGCTGTTTGGGGTGTCGCGGTTGTAGCATCATCATGATGCTGTCCGCAGCATCATGATGCTGTCAACTCAATCGATTCGGACGTTGTTGCTGCCCTAGCTGTGGCACGTAGTGGTTCGTGGCTGGTGTATCCATGATGTTGTCGACCGCGTCATGATGCTGCTGGAATCATCGTGGGTGCGGTGGCGCCATGATGCTGTCAACAGCAGGGTGATGCTGAATTTCATTACGCTGTTGCAAGATGATTTGTGGCGGTGGCATCATCATTCGCCTGCCTCTACCATCACAATGATGCTGTTCGCATCACCCTGATGCTGCCGGCATCATCATGATGCTGTCCGCATCATCATGATGCTGTCGAACTCATCAGGACGTCGTCTCTGCCTTTTTGCTGCCGAATATGTAACGCGGAATCGTTCGTGGCTGGTGTATCAGCATGATGCTGTCAACATCGCTGCGCTCAGTAGGACGTTGTCTGCGCGTCCATTTACCGCACCATGCTAAGCTGCTGTGGTATCATCATGACGCTGTCATGTTCGTGGCCGTGGTGTGCTATCTGGGGTCTTTTCGGGGAGGGGGAGGAAGGGTGATCCCTATTTCAAGGTTTTAAACACACAGCAGAGAAACGCGTGTCTGGTAAAGGTGGCGTTTTACGCGTTTTACGTGGAGCTCGCCAGGTTCCTCCAGAACATGCGCCTCAGCGGGCTCCAGCCGGATCTGGTGATCCTGAACTCGGCCGGATCCTCGAGCTGCGCCGCACCGAGGTCCGGGGGGAGGTTTGTGGAGGCTGGCGCACCGAAACGGAGAAACAAATAATATATGAGCAAGAAAAGAAGTCAAAGGAAGGAAGGGAGGGAGGGAGGAAGGAAGGAAGGAAGCGAAGAAAATCAAGGAAGACAAGGGAAGCAATGCAGAAACAAAGCACAGAACAAAGAGACAAGTACGCCAGGAAGACAGAAACTTAGAAGCCCGGCAACGCCGAAGCAACGAGCAAAGAAGCACCTAAACAACACACATCCAGAGAGCCAAAGAAGCAACGAATTGCGGCAACACAAACAATTCTCAGAGGCAGAGAAGCCAAGAAGCAGCACACAAGTCAAGAAGCAACTAAGGAGTCGAAAGGAATGATAAAATAACAAGCTAACATACGCACAACCAAAACAACAAACACGACAGACGCAAAGATCAGCCTTGCTATGAAAATTGGGTTGTTTTTGTGTGTGTTTGCTTGCTTGCTTGCCTGCCTGCTTGCTTGCTTGCTGGCTGGCTGTTTGCTTGCCTGGCTGCCTGCCTGTTTGCTTGCTTGCTTGGCTGGCTGCTTGCTTGCCTGCCTGCCTGCCTGCCTGCCTGCTTTCCTGCATGCTGGCTGTTTGCTTGCCTGGCTGGCTGCCTGCCTGTTTGCCTGCTTGCCTGCTTGCCTGCTTGCCTGCCTGCCTGCCTGCTTGCTTGCTTGCTGGCTGGCTGTCTGCTTGCCTGCTTGCCTGCTTGCCTGCTTGCCTGCCTGCCTGCCTGCCTGCCTGCTTGCCTGCTTGCCTGCTTGCTTGCTTGCTTGCTTCCTGGCTGTTTGCTTGCCTGGCTGGCTGCTTGCTTGCTTGCTTGCTGGCTGGCCCTGCCTGCCTGTTTGCTTGCTTGCTTGCTTGCTTGCTTGCTTGCTTGCTCGCTCGCTCGCTGGCTGTTTGTTGGGCTGTTTGCCTGCTTGCCTGCTTGCCTGCCTGCTTGCCTGCCTGCCTGCCTGCCTGCCTGCCTTCTTGCCTGCTTGCCTGCCTGCCTGCCTGCCTGCTTGCTTGCTCGCTTGCTGGCTGTTTGCTGGCCTGCTTGCTTTCTTGCCTGCCTGCCTGCCTGCCTGCTTGCTTGCTTGCTTGCTGGCTGTTTGCTTGCCTGGCTGCCTGCCTGTTTGCTTGCTTGCTTGGCTGGCTGTTTGCTTGCTTGCTTGCCTGCCTGCTTGCTTGCTTGCTTGCTGGCTGGCTGTTTGCTTGCCTGGCTGCCTGCCTGTTTGCTTGCTTGCTTGGCTGGCTGTTTGCTTGCCTGCCTGCCTGCCTGCCTGCCTGCCTGCTTTCTTGCATGCTGGCTGTTTGCTTGCCTGGCTGGCTGCCTGCCTGTTTGCCTGCTTGCCTGCTTGCCTGCTTGCCTGCCTGCCTGCCTGCCTGCTGCTGGCTGTTTGCTTGCTGCTGGCTGGCTGCCTGCCTGTTTGCCTGCTTGCCTGCTTGCCTGCTTGCCTGCCTGCCTGCCTGCCTGCTTGCTTGCTTGCTGGCTGGCTGTCTGCTTGCCTGCTTGCCTGCTTGCCTGCTTGCCTGCCTGCCTGCCTGCCTGCTTGCCTGCTGTTTGCTTGCCTGCTTGCTTTCTTGCTTGCCTGGCTGCCTGCTTGCTTGCTTGCTTGCTTGGGCTGTTTGCTGCTGGCTGCTGCTGTTTGCTTGCTTGCTTGGCTGGCTGTTGCTTGCTTGCTTGCTTGCCTGCCTGCTGCTTGCTTGCTGGCTGGCTGTTTGCTTGCCTGGCTGCTGCCTGCCTGTTTGCTTGCTTGCTGCTGCCTGCTTGCCTGCCTGCCTGCCTGCCTGCTGCCTTGCTGCGCTGCTGCATGCTGGCTGGCTGCCTTGCCTGCTTGCCTGCCTGCCTGCTTGCCTGCTTGCTTGCTTGCTTGCTTGCTTGCTTCCTGGCTGTTTGCTTGCCTGGCTGGCTGCTTGCTTGCTTGCTTGCTGGCTGGCCCTGCCTGCCTGTTTGCTTGCTTGCTTGCTTGCTTGCTCGCTCGCTCGCTGGCTGTTTGTTGGGCTGTTTGCCTGCTTGCCTGCTTGCCTGCCTGCTTGCCTGCCTGCCTGCCTGCCTGCCTGCCTTCTTGCTTGCTTGCTTGCTGGCTGTTTGCTTGTGTTAAAACCCTCCTAACCCCGCGTGTTTGTGTTGCTTACAAGGTTCCATTGATTGCCATTTGGCTCAAGTCACAAGTGAGGTTCAAGATCTTATGTGAAGCTGCGTTCATACGTGATCGGCAATTGAGAGCGGAAAACACTTCGCTTGCGCTGCATTTGTCAGGACCACTGTTGTAACTATTATTCCTTCTCCCTTACAACATTTGCACGGGTTCGGCTATAACGGTTTGACCGTATACACCTTTCTACGTGGTTGGTATTACAGCTGGAGGGTTCGGTGGACAGCGTCCCACGGGACGTCACCTTGCCGTCTCTTGACAGGTTATCAGCCGTATCGACAAGCTCTACGCTGGACAGAGAGACAGCTGGTTTATTGCGGGTACAGGGACAATAAAGGGACAATAACCTACACGGTACAATGGCATCTTCAGCGAGCCCAAGTACTGCAACTTTTGGGAACAGCAGCTCAGAGGGATCCAATGGATTGATGGCTCTTCCTGCGGTGATGGATTTGATCGCAGATTCACAGGATGAACCTGGGAGCGGAGGATCCGCGCTATTCAGCGACATATCCACTCCCACAAGATCATGGAAGCAGATCGATGTTCATCAGGAGTCGAAGCAAAGAGAATCCCCGCCGAGAAGATCATCATCTTCGCCTGCGACACCACGGACGTCGCAGAAGGGCGTGAGGTCAACATCAAAAGGGGGAGGTCAAAATCACCCACCAGTGCAGAGTTTCGCGCCGCGATTAAAGAAAAGAACAAGATGGAGATGGAGATCGGGGAATATCAAAAGACACTTGATGAAATGTCGGCAGCGATGGCGAATCTTCATCAAGAAGACTATGGGAGCACCATCCGGATCCAGGAGCTGGAGAGACGATGCGAGATTGCCAGCAAGCAGTCGGGACATCTTGTGAGTCACCACCAACACCACATGGCTGAGGCATGGCGCAAGTTTGAGGAGGAAGCCCAACAGATGCGCAAGGTGGAAATGAACGCATATCAGTACGGGGAAAAGAAAGACATGGAGTCGAATGTTATAATACAACAGATGAGACAAGCTGAAGGAACTATTATGGAGCAGAAGCGGGAGATTGCAGTGATGAAATCCTACATGGCAAGCGAGAAGTCGGCCGCGCAGGAATCAGCTATACATGCAAATCAGATACACCGTGAGGCTTCACAACAAATATCAGTTTATCAGCAACAGATCAGAGGTATTGAATCGTCTACATCTATCGAGAAGTTCAACGAGGAGGAGATGGTCCAAAGTCTAAAATCAGAGTTGGAGCACGCACTCGTCAAACGCCCCGAGACGTACTCTATGGAGGACTCCAGGGAGCAGCTGATGGCGAGACTGAACGACGTTACAACATTCGCGGAGCAAGAATCGAAGAGAGCAGAGTGCTTACTTCGCGAGAAGGAAGAGATCGTCAAACAGTACGAATCCGACGTGTTGAAGAAGGACCAGATGATTGCTATCGAGGGTGGTCATCGTCAAGATGCGATCTTGGAGTTAGCCCAGGTCAGAGAAGCAAAACAAGAAGAGCGGTGCACGATGGACGAGAAATCGAAGGAGGCCGAGTACTGGAGATTGACAGCTAAAGGAGTGTATGATGAGTACCTCGAGGAGATGCGTGAACTTCAGGGACAACTGAAGGATCGGGAGGCGACGCTCAAGCAAGAAGAGAGTTTTGTTCGTCAACTCGATGCTGACAATGAGGAACTACGAGCACTCAAGAAGCTGGAGACACAGGAAGCCTCTAGCAGTAAAGATGGACATCGTGAACGAGCAGTAGTGAAACGCGCTGAGGGAGGACCCCAAGCTAATTCGACTAGGGTAGACAAGAGGGTGACTGGGTTATTCCCGTCATCATCATCGAATCTGATCCCTAATTCGTCACTAATGCCAGGTTCGATTCTCTTTCCGTCTTTTGGTGATCCAATGATCGATGTACACCTATCCCAGCTGCAAGGGGTTGTTGGGCATGTCCCACAATCCGCTACTACAACTGGTGGTAGTGGTGATGGAGGGGGAAACAACGGTACTACACCCCCATTGGATTACGGTGGATTCTCGCCCAATGGAAATAGACAAGGGGCAGGTCGACGTCAGTTGAGCCTCATAGGTGGCGGAGGAGGACCTCCGGATGATCCACCCGGTGATGAGGGCGAAGATGACGACGAAGAGGACGAAGAGGACGAGGAAGAAGAAGAGGAAGAAGATGACAATCGGACACGGAGGAGGCGCAGAAGATCGAGGGATGATCGAGAAATCAAGAACGAAAGACCGAGGATTTCGAGGAAAGAAGCCGAGAGGGTGTCTATTCCTGCTTGGCCAAAGATACATCAACTCGATAACTGGAAGATGCAACTGCTGATGAATGTTCTGAGCGCATGCGCAGATCCAGATACTGACACATGGACGAAATGGTTGGAACAGGCTCTTGGGTTAAACCCAGACCTGAATCTGCTGAGTCCGGCGACAGATTCGCTACGATAGATATCAAAATGGCCATGGGCATGCAGAACATGTTGAAACAAGCACCTGACGAAGCCAAAGACGTGTACCTCGACGCTACGCGACATTCGGAACTACGACATCAACAAGGGGTGATCGTGAAGGGACGAGAGTTGGTGGCATTGGTTATGCAATCATTCAGAACGTCTGATCGAACGGATCTTGTCTACCACATCGAGCTTTCCCGGAGACAAGAATTTGGTTATATTCAGGAACAAGTGGTATGATTTGTTGCTAAAGATGAGGAGCGAAGACAGACCCAGCAAGTTGGCTCTCAGAGATATTCTCTACAGGAAGATCAAAGGGAGCAAGAAGATGGAGTTCGGCCTCAACGCCTACCATAGATTGCCG